AAAGAGCCCTGGAGGACCAAATAGCACTGTTTACGTTTGTGTTTGGAGTCAGCATCGGAGAGGTGCGGAGGGGGGTGGGAGGGTGAGTCGAGGTGGTTAAAACTTTGGGAGAGTCGTCATGACAGAGCACTGAGACAGAGCGAGGGAACTTTGGAGCGTTGTTAAGATTGAAGTTTTAAGGCAACAGAGACCTCCTGACAGAATCCAAGAAGCTGCAGATAGATGTCTCATATGTGTGTGTTTACCAACTTTACTGTAGTTCGGGGGGGTCTTTGAACTCACCAAAGCGCATCACGTCAATCTGTGTCACACTTTGGTTCACTGATCTCTTGCGAGCATTGCGTGGTAGCTGGTGGGTGGGGGAAATTATTTTCCCCAAAAATAAAATAAAAAAAAATGAAATTTGAAGATGCAACCTGAGAATAGAGAACACATCAAATGTAGGTCATCCAGTATATCACCATCTATGGATTTAAAGCACATTGAAAAGTGCATTTATTTATACCAACAATAATAACAAACGACAACAATAAATACATAGAGAAACTACAAAATAAATTTCTAAAGGCTATAAATGCTGATTTAATTTCTGAGTGAATCTAATTCAGAAAAGATTACATTTTTGTCAACAATTTCTGTTTTTTACCCTTTATTACTCACTACATTTGTAAAAAGTACTTTGTCATCCAGACCTTCTCAATAAGGAGACCCTCCCCACCATATAGTAGATTAGGACTACTGTCCAATCACAGCACACACAGACCCTGTGACCTTGTTACTGCTGTTTGCCACCATGTGGCCATATAATATTTAGTTCTCACTTGAAATGGGATTAAAATGTACCTTCCCATTGAAATGAAAGTTCAGTGTGTAGTTTTTAATCAGGGTCAGGTTGCTGTTAGCGAACACACACATCTGCTCCGCAGCTCTGAGTGTTCATTTGGATTACTGACTCTGTTTTAGTGATTACCTAAACGCCTGCAACGCTATAGACCTCATCATAAGTAAAAACCCTACAGAATAAGTGCAGCTCTATAATCCACTCACATCATTAACTTTTATGGTTTTACTTTACTTTCTGTTAAGGAAGTTAGAATAAAGGCTATCCAAGGCTGCTGCTAATTGTCTTCTGCTACAGCAGGCAGTGTTTGGGTGTTGTCTTATCAACTGCTTCTCTGCCCTGCTGTAGGGTATGCAGTGAAAAAGTGAGTGGCTCAGTTTCCTCGTCTTTCGCCCGTCCCTACGAAGCCGTCGGAGTAGGAGTGCATCAAAAGTGGGGAGGGAAACACAGTTTGCGTGACTGTGATGTTTTTAATAATCTGGAGTCGAAGCGTGTTGTGGGGACGGGGTGACCGGGCAGAGCCAACCTTAAGGCTGCTGCAGTGGAGGGGGAGAGGGAAGAGGGAGATGCCCACTGCAGGATTTATTAATCTCCCAAAATCATTTTCACGAATCAGAATTAGTATGGTAGTAGTGTGGTCTGGGGTCCGGAGGAGACAAGGAGAAAAGAGAAAAACTGTGTGCAAAACTAGAAATAATATCAAAGGTATAATTTACTTCTTCTCTGTCCGTCTCAGGGTCACATACTGTATAGGAAAGAAACAGAGAATTCATAGTGAAAAATGACCATAATCCTTTGTGTTTTTGGACTGTGGGAGGAAACCAGAAGCTGCAGAAAAACAACTTATGTAATGAAAACGATACAGAAAATGCCGTGACGGTTGAATCAGTGACCTTCTTGTTGTAAGGCAAAAGACCAAACCACTCTCACACCCTGCTCAACTAGATTGCTTGAAATTATAAAGTAAAGAAAATAAGAATAAAAGTAGAAAAGAGAATAAAAATCAGAAAATATATGAAAACATTTAAAGTCATGGTACTGCATGATTTGCACAAATAAAAATATTTTCTGAGACATTTTGTCTATTTGTCAAAAAAGTGAATTAATAGCAGTTTGCAAAGTTTCACTACAATAAAAACAAAAAAACATAAGGGAGGACAAAGGAAGAAAAAAGAGGCAAAAATGAAAGCAATCGCATCTCTCACTGCAAGTGTGATTAAGTGAATGCTAATGTCTGTCTGTTCATTGCTTTTTAAACGTCATAATAATAATATTTTCATAATAGCGCCACCAGATTGTGCAAAAAAATAAAAAGTAAACGTCTTCTTAGAATCTGCTGCTGCCATGACATGTCATATACAGTCTGTCAACATCCGCACAGAAAATGTCTCTCTGCTTAACCATCTCTACCAGAAGGGGGACCAGTCCGTCTGCCGTAGACCGAGAGTGGCCGACGGCGAGCTGAAGCAGAGGAGACGCCAGGGTGAGCAAGCCGACTCTGGGTTTAGAGTTCGACTCCAGATCCGAGGAGCCGGCAGATCCAGCAATCCGCATCTTGCCACGATCCCTAGGATTTTAATCATGCCTCTCTGTCTGTGTGTGAGTGCAGGCAGGCTGACAATGATTTCCTCAGTGATTACGTACAGAGCGAGTCCCTGCGGGGTAGGGGCCCCCTCTGGAGCCATCCTGATGGCTTTGGGGGCCTTGCTTCCATTTTCCATTATTATGTGGACTACCGGAGCGACAGCGCAGTCCAAGACCTTGCAGGTTTGTGATGAGGAGGGAGCTTCCATCTTCTCTCTGCTTCTTCATCCTCTTTTTAAGAGCAATTTAGACCTAGACTTAGATCAGATTCCAAACCTAATTCATGATTAGATGACTGGAGAGGGAAAAGGGAAGAGTCTGTGATAGTTTTGATCATGTTAGATGGATATGGAGTGAAAAGTGTATTTATCATTTTTACACCTTTTCGGGGGGTTTTGGTACATTTTTGTGCACTGTCACAGGAGACGTTTTGCTGATGTCTTTCTGCCGCGGATGCATTTGAGATGAGAGGCGAAAGGCACATTTTGCACTTTTATTTCTAAAAAAAAAAAAAAAAAAAAAAAGAACGAAAGAAAGAAAGGAAACACATCATGCCATTACGCGTGTGTGTTTTGCCGGAGAATGGAAGCGCATGACGGGATCTCTATATCCTCACACTTTTCCCCGATACCCGGCTCAACTAAGCGGCGTCGCCTGCACAGATCGGGCTAATCGGATTTTATCTCGTCCACCTACTCATCACAAAACAACAGCAAACTCGTGCCGCGACCGCGCGTCAAAGGGGCCAAGTTGCACCTTTCTGTGATGGTCAAAAGGCAGCCGCGGTTGTGGTCAGGGAAATTTAGAGAGACTGCACCTTTAGACCATCCCGTGTTGTTGAAATTATCCGACAGAAACTGAGCAACTTCAGCGTTTTTTTTCTGTAGGATGTCGCGCCGCAAGCAAGCTAAACCAAGATCACTGAAAGGTAAGTGATAAGCCTCTGTCTGCTCTGCTGCTGCCTGTCACAACATTTCTGTCTTTTTTATAGAAAAAAAATTCAGAAAGGTCTTAATGAGAAGTCTAGACGCGCACCAGTGTGGACCGAACTTACTACTCCACTACTGATGCGCCTGCCTCCTTCTTTTTGCGCATTTCTGATCGCATTTTGGGGCAAATGCTGGTTGTATTTTACGCACGAAAATGTGGTCTGTGTGCAGCCCACATGGCACGGAGTGGCGAGGGCTGCTCTGGGCTGCACACTTTGCACAGGATTTCTACAGTAATGATAGTTCAGGTGCTTTGTAACAAGAAGACGGAGACATTGCTGGGCACTGTCGGTCAAGAGCGCAACAGCGCCGCGCAAAAATAAATAATTACATTCATTAATTAAAAAAAAAAACCATTGCACATCTGGATGCGTTAAAGACGCTCCGGCTCGGAACTTGTGTCTGTCTGATGGAATGGGGTGCAGAGTCACGTGACGTCCCCGACACCCCCCACCCTCCCTCCTCCTCCTTCCATCGACCCCCCTGTCTGAGAAACTAAAGAGGAAACATTTCATATGATGTTGAAAGGGAGGGCTGTGTTTCTTGTTTGTTTGAAGGAGGTGGGAGGCAAGTGTTGGCTGCTAATTAAACTTGTCCATTATTAGATTGGAAACATCTGGATTCAGCAGTGATTAGGGATCAGAGAACTGAACTCTAATGTTTCCATTTAAATACCAGGCTAGTGTGTGTGTTTGATTGTTGTTGTTGTTTTTTCCAATTATTTTCATGACATTTTTCCTCTTTTTCCTCAGTCGACACGCGTTGTGCAGGACTAGACTGTAGGGATGAGGCAGCAACAATTAATCGACTAATCGGTTGTTAATCGACCGGTAAATGTATAAAAAATCCTTTCATATTTTTAATTAAACTTTTTTTTAGCTGTTTATTCTAAAAATGCAAAAATCTGGAGTGAAACCAAAACATTTGAATATGTCCTTGTTTTTTACTTCTTGATCTTTCCTGCCTCTTGCCAGTTTATTTTCCACTAACTTAAAAATATTAAAAATAATAATTCATTGAAGCCGTAACGCTCTCTCACACACACACACACACTCCTTCAGCCACTACTTTTCTCCTGTGCTAGGGGAGCTGCTAGGTTTCTGGGGTTGAGCTCCAGTTCATCTGGCAAGCATTGTGTTTTGCTCAGCAAATAATTGTCCACAATTTCACATTCCCAGCTTGTGGTCTGCGGACCCCCTTTCTCTCGCCTCTCTCCCTCTCGGAAGTCTTCATCTCAAAGGAAGATTACATTCACGCAGCCTCCATTTTAAATCAATACCCAGGAGAGAGCTGTAAATGTGAGTGCATGCACGTCTTAAAAAAATAAATTAAAAAAAAGTCACATTCTGTTTTCTGCAGCTACACTGCTCTGTTCACAGCAAACAGCTCCATACATAGATTTCCTATTTTCTCCGACCAGATTGCCATTGACTGTTTTTTTGTGAGTCGGCATGACATTTGCTAGTCTCAAAAGACACGTCCACTTATATACAATCGTCTCCTGCCTGCATGCCTACATGCTACAAGTGTGTGGATGCAGACGATCTGTTAAGACACGTGTAAATCGGTGTGTTTCTGAGGGGGGGGGGCAGAGATGGAGAGAGAGAGTGACTGAGAGAGAGAGCATATCAGTATGCAAATGAAGTCAGAGTGATGACACTGTTTGTTTTGTTATTGACACTAAAATTCAAATTGGAAAAATATAGCTCGCAAAACACTGCGACTTTTATGTCTTCGTTCCGACTGCTCGCGCCGAGCAGAAGAGCAGAGACGTCATGGACATTTCCCTGCTTTGGATCAGACCCAGAGAAGGCCAGGCAGATGTTATTTATTGTTCATTGTCTGTCTTTCCTCAGGGACAGGGATACACTTATACAGATGTCCACAATAACTATCTCCCCTTGTTTTTTTTGTTGTTTTTTTTTTGTTGTTTTCATTTTACTAGTCTGACGCTGCATTCCTTACTAGTTGTGGAAGATGGAGAATTTTGATTATTTTTGTAGACTTCTCTAATATTTTTAACACTTGACAAAATTTGTCTCTGCATGTTTTCATGACGCGCAGGCCCGTGTGTGTATGTACTGTAAGTTTCCGCAAGCGGAGCTAGGTCAGGAAGTTCAGGTTTCACTTTTTATAGGCCGTCTTGGGCTGATTGGAAGCAGTGGTCAATGTGGCCGGTGCGTTTTCAAACAGAGAGAACACTTTGTTCCGTGGAAGGAAGCATTAGCAGAGGTGATGGAACACAGAGGGAAGGCAGAACGGGCTTCACGTGCATTGTTTTGATAGCGTGTGTGGTGTGAGCACAGATGAGAAAATAATGCTGTGACAGTTGGCATTCTTTTTTCTTTTTTTTTTTAAGCCCCAACACACACCCACTTCAACAGTATTGCCTGCTTGTGGGAGTCAGAGGTTATGTTTTTGGTCCCATCGCGGAAAAGGGCAACATTACAAGTCCCGTTTCAATTAAGTCTGAGAGACAGATCCGGCTACGTTATTGCTTGGGGGAATAAATGGCACAGGACAAGACCATACATCATTCGCTTATATGCAAACACTTCAACCCAGCCACTGACATTTACTCAATCCCGAGCCTTCTACATTTGTCAACTGTAGGCACATTGTAATTTTGTTTTGATGTGCAGAGGCTTTGGGTCAAGCACGTTGACTGTGTCTGTGGCGAGCAGCGAGGAAGGAGGATCTCTGTCCCAAAATCCTGCCTGTGGCGTCTGACGACTGCCACGTTGTCTGTCCTTCAGAAACTTCCAGAAACATGTCAGGCGTGAGTTGATAGTTTCATTTCAGAGCTCACATGACACCTTACTGAACTCCAGCCCGGATGTGTTAATTAGAAGATTCCAGGTCTGTCATATGCATACATAAATACATTTTACGCATCGTTTACCTTTAAAGTAGGAGCTGCCAGGAGCTCATTGCTGTTTCATCTGTAGTTTAAATATTTTATGTGGCTGAAGAGGAGGATTTGAAAGATCACATTGGTTTAGAGAACCTGTGAAAAGTAAAAAATAAATAAATAAATAACCGGTGTGATTTACACTGGACAAAGATGTGGATGCATTTACAGGTAAAGACGTTAAAATTGCTGCTTAAATTAAACCCATAAAAAATTTAATTTTTAAAAAATCTCATATATTCTATTATTTCATTGCTTTATGTAAAAATACACAAGGATTACATTCTTAAGCCCTAAATAATGTAAGAAAAAAATCGGTTTATATGCTGCTTTTGATTTACTACTTATTTTATATACTCTGTACTCGGCATGTTTCAGGTTAAATTCCATAAAGGCCTAATTTGAACAATTAAAGTTGCAAAACACACACACATAAACACACACTTTTGGCTTGATTTTCTCTACCCCATTTCCAGGACGCTTCTTAACAGTTAATAGCCGTTCTCAGTTCAAACTCAACTGCAGTATTCCAGTCTGTTCACAATTAATGATCTGTGGCATAACACCCATTAACACTTTTCTAATGTGACACAAAAATATGGTTAGTATTATCATTAAGGAAATTATGATGGAGCTGTAGGAAAAATCCCATTAGCACGGCTGTCAGTGGCTGTGACGTGCAGCTCAGTGCGTTGGCCTGGGCGTCGCGGGAGCTGGCCGATATCTGCTCTTATTCCATGGCATGTGTCTCTCTTGTTGTCATACATTGTCTGCCACATGGAGAAGAGCGTTCTGATCCAGAGACAATGATTGATTCCCACCACCGCTGCAAATGCAATCAGACGACGCTGGGCAAATTTGCATCTGTCTCGTTTGGCTGTGGAAAAAGCGCTGATATATAAATATTTTTATGAAGCTACGTTTTTTTAAATTTGCTACAGGTGCAGTGCAATTTTTAGAATAGACGACTCTTCCTTTTTTTTTTTTGCTTACAGCACGTGGCGTGTGTGTGAGGAATTACAAACGTTATAGCACCTGATTAACATGCTGCTCCATTGCAAATTATTTATGACACTAATCACCAGTTCAAATAATGCTCATTAAGAAAGTTATTCATGTGCAGTGTGTGTCCTCCTCCCTCCCCTCCCAGCCCTAATTGAGGAGGGTTGACCTCTTGAACCCAGCTAAATTGAGTTGTAGTCCCCGTGGCGAGTGTCTCCTTCCCGGTCAGTCAGGGCGGATTACACAGCCATTGTGCTCGGCACTGTATCGTCCAAACTGGCTGTAACCAAGCAGATGAGTCACGCATATCCAGGAACACACTCAGGGTTTTTTTGTGCATGAGAAGTGCTGCGAGGTACCGACACAAGAACCACACAAGAATAGTCAGTCGACGGCACAAAAGTCTGCGTCTGTGTGTGTTTGTGCAAACCGGCCGCACACACTTTTCACTATTCTCTTACTCAGGAATTGCTGTGATGGATTAGCACAGGTCCAAGCTGCTGAGTTTGTCATGTTTTGCTTCACAAATCATTAGTTTCTGCGGTTGTTATATTTCATTGTCTGCTTACGTGGTGAGCATCTGTTTTTGTAAATCTGGTTTCGTCTGGTACGCTTTGCATTTTTGTGTTTGTCTGTGCCGCTTCCTGCTTAGCTAAGAAAAAATAAAGGCCACTTCCTTGTTTTTGGGGTTGATGCTCAGAAAATAATGACGATTTTTGCGTCAGGCGTGTTAATTAGTGGCCTTTAATATCGAGTCACTTGTTGTGGGATTATGTTTTTTTTTTTTTTTCCTACTCTGTGAAAATCAAAGGAGCTGTGCTGAAACAGTCCCAAGCGTGTTTGATATTGTATTAACAAAAGCTCACAGCGTGATTACAGATTGCCAGCGACTGAGTGATACACTGTACCTTGTCAAACATTAATTAACTGATAGCAGTGATGCATTAATGACAGTCGTATTCAGCCAAAGTAATAGTCACCACGAAGCGATGATGAGTATTAATTAAAACAGTCCGGCTATTTGTGTTGGTATCAACGTTGCGATGATCAAATGTCCGGCTCGTGCGAGACATCACAAGGGTTTGCCCTCGCTTGACAGCTCATTCTCTGTGATCACTCCTCGCCTGCGATTAATTACCTACGAGACACGTGCAAATGAGAAAAGCCCTGGCGCCGCGACGGAGGCTGTTTACTTTAAACGACACAACTTTTAATAAGTTCACAGTGGTGACAAATCGTCGCAAACTGCTGTTGTTGTCCTTACGTTCTTATACGGCGGTGTGAAATATAAAATTTTCTGCCTGAACTCCCTCATCTCACCAACAGGGATAGTAATCAAAACAAAAACTCCAGCTCCCACCAACATCCTTTGATAGAACCGTGGGGGATTTATTAGGACCCCCTATCCATAGCCCATTTAAATGATCCTGGATGCACGGCTCTCAACAGCGCTGGAGAAACTCATTAAACTCTCAAGGCGTCAGTCACTTAGGCCTCCTTTAACAGGACAAGGTTTCTGCTGGCTGATGCAGTTCTCCTCTGTGGTTTGAAAGGAAATACCTCCACCGTTTCCAACTTTTCCTACTCCATCAGTTGCGATTGATTCGGCCGATTAATTTGCCAAACCTACGGCTGTTTGTTTAGCATACAGTATTTCTCCGTACGGTGCTTTTTTTGGCCACTGCCATTTTCTTCACAAAGGCCGTTTGAAGGAAAGATTGAGGTGGACAGGCTGACAGTGAAACAGCTGCTGGGTCGTTTGGCATCTTCACAGGAAACACTTTGTCACATCACTCTTTTTTTTCTTCCGCCGAGGGTTGACACCATGTTTGACACTGACTTTTGCTCCCCTGAGGAAAAAAGGCTTCTGCCGCCATAGGATCCTGCCTTAATTATGCAAAGTACAGGATATTTTGTGCAATTTTATAAGTGCGCCAGTTTCTGCTTTGGCAATCACTGCCACACTCTCCTACTGGGAGGTCCTGTCAGACTCCCCCCTTTCGCGTTGCCCAGGAAAATGAAAGGCTCAAAAAGAGAAAAAAAAAAACACAATAGAGAATGCATTTCAACTGCAGGGGTGGAATGCAGAGGTGTAAGAAGTCCTCAGCGAGCCCCTCATTTTACATGGAACAGGTGGGAGACTCTTTTGTTCTCTTCCCGCTGGTAAAATCCATTTCATTTCTGGTGCTTGACATGTCAGGAGGAAGGTATTGAGTTCCAAAAAGGCTGCGGCACACAGGTTTACACCTTTTACAAAACAGGAATCCTGCTTTTCCGGAGCAGAGTCGATGAGACGCTGAACACCGGTTTGATGGTACCCACCTCTGCTGTATAATATCCATCACATACGGAGAGTTCAACTCTTTTAAACCGACTACCTAAATATGAAATTTGATCCACTTTTTGAAGCAGATCAGATCAAATCATCCGTGTGAAATCCGTGTAATTCTTCTGACTGAGTCGGTCATCAAGGTGTTCCTTCCTCCCACGGTCACAGCCGACGCCGGGAGGCTGTTTCATGGGAAACCTCCATAACGCGTCGCGTCATTACGCAGTCCAATATGTTATTTACGTACGTGGTGCAGTGTTCGCCTTTTTGCCAAAACTCATACATATAAAAGGCCTGCGTCTATTCCCGAACCACAGGTTGAGCTGTCAAAAGCTGTCCAAATCTCCTGGAGTTTCCATGCAGAAAGGCTCAATAGTAAATAATGAAAAAAGAAAGAAAGAAAGAAAGGAAATCTCAGTGTGTTGAACTTGTTTTTCCACTGTTAACTGTTTCTTCTCCTCCTTTTCTCCCTCTTTTCTTTTTTTGGCAGTAGAAGACAATGTGACAGAGGACCAGCACAGTCCCGGGCAGACTGCCATTCCAAGTGGTAATGCTCCATTTCATATTTCATCATTTTCGGCTGGAAAGTAGATCATGTGTCTCTGTGTGTGAGTGTGTGTGTAAGAGAGAGGGAGAGTGTGTGTGTGTGCCGAAAAACTCGACGTTTGTTTTTTTGTGCTTTTAGTATTTTTATACCTAAACTACACGACCGCTCGTGTTCATGACACTGGGGCCGAGCGGCGTTGGTTGTTGGCTGTGTGTGTGTTTGTGCACATGCATGCATATGTGCAGGTGTGCTTATATCTGTCCTTGTGTTCTCGTGTAGATCCTGTGACTTTTTTTTTTTTTTTTGTCTCCCAACCTTCTGTATGATGTAGAATAGAGTCACCCAGATGAATGTGTCCTGTCTCCACATGTGCCATTCACACTGGCCCTCCAGGAAAATAGCGGTAATTCAGGTCAGGCTAGCAGAAAGCCCCCTATGAATGAAGGCTGCTCCTGATGCACCAAGCTGTATATTTTCATTTCATTTGTCTCTGGTAAAGGTTAAGTCTCAGGTGTGGTTATTTTAAACCCGATATGGATGGTTTTGCCCAGCAGGCTGGGGACCCTGAGTACTCCTCCGCTGCCACATTAGTCCAGCATTTACACACAGCTTTTTGAGTGTTCCTGCGTGGAAGGATGGAGGTGCGAGCACCAAAGTAGACGAAACCTGCTCTTATTCCTACCTGTTTATGACTTTGAGGTTCGGCAGCACAGAAAGCACTGTTCCTGACACGTGCTGAGGTCTTTCATCTCCTTCCTGTTTGTTTCTAACGATTGATCAGAGACGTATTAACCGTGGGATGTGGGGAAAAAAAGCACAGAGCGGTACATACTGCGTAGCTGCTGCTGTGCTAACGTGTATTGATACGTATATATCGGCACTCCCTTTGCAAAAGAAATGGACTTCCCAGACTAACTGACTAGCAGCTCCAGGGGTGGAGGTCCAGGCATGAGAGGGAGACTAGCCTGGGAGACCTCCTGTCATCCAGAGCCAAAGCAGAGCTAATGAGTGTGGCTGATTACAACGACCCCCTCTATGAGACACCAATATCCCCTCTCTCCCTGCTCTGCACCACCTCTATCTCCAGAGTGAGGAGAGACAGCAGCCACAAGATCGATGTCTGCCTGTGGAGAAATCAGGAGGGCGCACAAATTAATTTCTCACTTTACTCATTTGACTTGGTACGACTGGTTTATTTTTTAAAAAACGTAGCCTCATGTTGCAGCCTGAAAAATGGTCACTGAGAACAATGGTGAAGGTGAACTTTTGTGGCCATTAAAAGTACAAAGCCACACTCGTGAATTTAATACCTGGTTCATGCTTTTAAAAAAATCAGGACAGCGGAAGAAAATTGTAAATCACCCCAGGAATAATTTGGGATATGAGATTGCTGCGGTTATGCAAATGAAGTTTTTAAATATTCCTGTTAGGCTGATGGTGTTGGCTGACTCCCATTATAATGATGCATTTTTAACAAAGGCAGAACTTCTACCCATTCTATATCTACAAAGCAACGCTGGCTCAGAAACTGCTGCTGCACCTCTTGATCATCAGAATCACTGTCTGTTTCCTTCAGCACAGCTGCATATACAGTAGACGGAGGCCGACCTTTATGTCTTTCCGTCAATTTCAGACAAGCTTGATCCCAAAATATCAGACAGCAGTTCTTTACTAGATTGAATTTTTTGTCTTAGAGATGCAGCAGTCGACTGTGCTGGTTTATTAGATGTTCTAAGTCAATGCGGCCCATTTCTGTACAATGTTTTTTGCTTCCATTCTACATATAAATATTTCCCAGGACTCGCTTAGAAATTTCAAAATACTATTGACTATTGCGCCGATGACAGCCATGACACCCAAAAAAAAGCCTTGGGTTTACCTGTTGGACTTGAGTTTCAGTGGCATCAACTTTAAAAGTAGATTTAAGCAAATTATAGGTTTTAATGTTAATGTTCAACTTTGTCCTGTGTCTCATCGTATCTTAAATTTTCATCGGTCTCTCCGTTGAGCTCAAACCCCCCTCCTCCAGCCTCAGGTCTGAGTGCTGTGGAGTCACTTGTGTGCTTGTGAGTTATTTGCGGCACTGATGGACACGGCCACAATAGCTGTTACACTCCTGACAAGCTAAAAGCTTAATCAGACGCGGTGTCGGGATCTGCCTCATAAGTAGACCCCCAGCCGTGCTCTTCTGTGACTCTACAAGCATTCCGTAAGCCCTGCTTCCTGTTCCTCATTCATGTTTGATATGTAGCAAGAGGAAAAGGAGGAATGCTAACAAAAGAGGCATTCTGAAAGATAGACGGTATTATGCGTAGCGTAAGAGAGGCAGAAACAGTGTGATATCTGAGATTTAATGAGGCTGTGCGCGTTTTACCCAGAGATTGTCAAGCAGTCTTGAGATCCGCAGCTTGGCTTTACCACTGTGCTGCCTGTGTGTAATTATAACCACATGCTCCAACATTCTCTCTAATATATACATCAGTTCTTCTTTTTTTTTCCTTTCTCTCTTTTTCTGTCTTTTGCTCTCGGCTATGTGAGATCGAGGTTGTTTTTTACGTGAGAGGGTGTTGGAGCAGAGTGGACTGAGGCAAATGCAAGTGTTTGAGAGATTTGAAGAGGTGTCTGGGTGGCAAGGTGCCGTGGTGTAGAGGAGCGTGGTGCTGTGGTACAGCGTACGAGAGTCTGGCTCCAGCTGAGGTTGAGGCTGCCCACAGATCAATGTACTGCAGGGCTCGCTACAGCAGGAACAGGAAAGGACTCTTTCACTTCACCACTTCAGAAAATCATATTCTCTATTATTCATTTCCTTTGATGTTTTACTGCACTAATGGCATAGCAAGGCGCTCCGTTCAATATTATCACTCCATGTGAGAGAGACATAGAGCAAGAGAGAGAGACAGAGAGAGAGAGAATTTGGTATGTTTCCCATTTAACCGCTTTGGTTTCCTTCCTTTGTTGTAAATTTGTATTATTTTATGTCTAATGGCAGCTGATGTCGTCACCGCACCTGTGATTATTCGCGCTACTTCCCGTCACGTGCAGTCCTCTGCCCTGTCTTCATTGTTTGCGTCTTCTCCTGTAATTGTTTGCCACATTTTCTCCCTCTGTTTCCGTGCTCCTCTTATTTTAATCTCAGCAGGTTGTCACATTTTCCCCAAATTTTTCGGTGCGTTTATTTGTAACCAATAAAAAGGCGTTTAACAACATTTGACAGCAGTTCAATTTGAGGTTGTAAAGTGCGTAGCGGTGTCAGGAAGATGGCTTTTGGCGATAATTGTGGATTTCTGAGGCATCAGACGGCAATGTGACTCTGAAGTGAAGGTAGAACGCTCGCCATTCATGCAAATTCTCCATATTGCGAGTCAAACTCTCAGTCTTGGCATTAGATCTCAGTGTTCTTTAATGATGGGGGGGATCAGTGCAAGTGACAAGCTTAGTGGAAGCCCCCAAATCCCATCCATACAGAGGAGGATACACTCGGAGGCACATGTGGCATTAGGATGTAGTGTGACCTATATATGGAGGGCACGCTGCGAAAGTTTTAGATTTTTAAATAATGAGGCGCCAGCTACCGTGTGAAGGTTATTCAATCTTAATGTCCCCCTATTTCTGACAGCCTCTCTCACTCTGATAAAGGAGCGCGCTTAGCTTTGATCAGGCCCGCCGACATGTGTCGACAGAAGCTGCTCGCTGGTTAAAATAAATTCTTAATTTGAACTTTGGGGGCGGGGGGAGGGGTTGCCAGCGATGGAGCGTCCTAGGATCATGATCTGCAGGATTGATGGGAAGTAGATAAGGAAACGGGTGAGTTAGTGGTAATGTTTTCGACACTGCTGTCTTCCATTGCTCAAAGAAGGACTGTGGCGGAGCTCTAATGGAGCTTGACGTACTGTAACCACAGGCAGCAGAGTCCACAGTGCACTGCACACTTTTCACACTCACAATTTTTCCTTGAAAGACAAATTTTGACACATATTGCATCTTGGAAAATGCCCCACAACCAACAACTTTTGTCTGTCATTTGAAAGCCCTCAGTTTGACAGAAAATCCCATGTGCAGTTCGTAGCGAGAGTTAACTTTTCAGGAGAAGATTATGCAGATTAAGCGTTACAAATTGGCCATATTTCCCTTTTACTCATACACTAACGCAAATATATTTTCGTGTCATTCCTTTTCCTTCTCACGTGGTCACTTTATTCTCGCCGGCCTCAGTGTGTGGTCTAGACAGCGGGGGACAAGTGTGAAGGCTTCCCTGCTAGGGACCAAGGGGTCCCTCGTGGGGCTAATGGAGCAGAGAAGAGAATATCAATTAAAAGGTTATAAATATTTAAAAGCTGAGATATTCAATAATATAAGAGTGGTGGGTCCAGAGACTCCTCAACTTACAGATGAAAGTGGTGGCATGATAAATGTCAGCAGGCACCCAGGCTGTGTATGATGGATGGCGTCTGACTCAGACAGGTATTACATGGCAGTGTGGATGTCAGTCACCATTCACATTTTTATATTAATATAGAATTAATGCAGTTTCACCGCCATAAAGACTGAAAATCCACATCCAAAAAAGAAAAAAAAAACTCTCAGTCAGATCTTTATTAAATTTCCTCCCTGAATAATTTCTCACACCGAGCTGTGATCGTCGTATCTTCAGCTGACCTTATCAGAATATGGATCACGGGTCAATGTGGCCTCCCTCATGTCCTCACCATCTACACCAGCGTTGTTAAACTGATGAGCAAAATTAAGACTGGTGTTAAAATTCTGGATATGCCACACATCTCGCCTTCATATTCCACATGTGATTGTCAGATACTGCAACTAAGTTGGTATTGATCTGCTGTCCAGCCTGTAGAGACTGGAAGAAGAGGATGTCCTGATCTGATGGATTACTGTATGAGGCCCAGAGGCACAGGAACTTCAGTATCGACGTGGCTCTCTAATCCCAGGGTTGGACGTGACCTTGCCCTGCCAAGACACCCCCACCTCCCACACCTTCATTCCCTCGACCAACCTTAGTCCATCGAAATAAGAAGCAGTGAACACTCACAGCACTGCATCACAGTGTTGTACCACAGATCAACTTATTAACTTACCAACCCTATTAACATTAGTGATCCACTGAATGCGCTCAAAGTTACACCTAAAACTTGAAGAAATAGAAGAAAATTGAATGTAGACCTTGCAAAAGTTAGAATCTTCTCATTCATCTGTATATCACGGAATATATTATATATGGATTTTGCCAAAATCTTCGAAAAACATGAAAAATTGCGCACGCGGAGTGTTGAGTTTTAACTGAAATGAAAAAAAAAAAGTTGTTATTTTTCTGTCAGGATCAGGTCGTAATATTAGAAAAATTAATGATTCATGCAGGAGTCTTAACCTCCTCCACAGGCACCCTGTAAAAAAGACACAGAGTGTTCACATTTCAGTGCATATTGCGAATTGTGTGTCTCTCTGTGTGGATGAATCATAAGTCTATATTGTGTGGCTTTTGGCCCCAGTCAGAAGTGTTTCCCCCTGAGCAAGAAAGACCTGCATCTGTGAGGATTGGGTTGGGATTTTCATTTTCTTGAAACACCTTCTGTTCTGTTCTGCATGGTCCCACCAGGGACCACAGTGCTGATATTTTTAGAGGGCATGTTCCGAAAGCCTCAGTCGCCAAGAGGGAAGGACAATGGAGGGTGTGATGTTACATCAATACTTGGCGCAAGTGGGGGGAAAGGAAAAAAAAAATCCTGGGTGGCCTTGATGAGTTCTGGAACGCCTTTCCTAAAGGAATTTTACAGGTTCAGAGACACCCTACAGAGTTAGGACTTAAAATGGCTGCCTTAGTATTCACCCCATACACTATTTACTATATATATGCACACCCACACCTGCACACATCACTACCCAATACTCCTCCTCAGGCACATTGTGCTAGGTGAAACAAACAGGCTTCCTCCCTGCATCCTCCTCAGGAGTTTTAGGACAAGCTGAGATACACTTGAATCAGTGGGGGCTTGAAATGGCTGCCAGTGAAATGCAAGGGCTTTTCTCCCCCACAATGCCTTAGCAGGGTGACATGATTGTTTCATTGTAAGTATGGCTTTTTAATCAGTTGTATTGTGCAGTATAATGGTCGCAGCAGGGGAGCAGGAGAGCTGTTGGCCACGCTGTCTATTTATGTGATGCTAGAGTAAGAGTCAGGTTGGCTTCGGTGTGCTTCAGAGCAGAGACGCTTATTGTTACACTGATCAGATTTGTTGTTAGATCATTTAAAATCCGGGGAGTTTGCATTATATTTCATAATCCTAGTCTGTGTTGTTAGTAGTCAGCGGCCCACCCCTGGCACTGCTGCAGCACAAAGCCAACAAGAGACAAAACTGCAGATGGATTGAAGAATATTGATGTGCGCGACCCGCGGCTGCCTGCGAGCAAGGCTGAATAATTTAGGGAAGTGTGTGTCGTGATGCCAGCCTCTGTTTTGTACGATATGCGCTGTACAGAAACTGCTCTAAGTTGAATGTCAAGATAAAATGACATGACGTGTCCGTGTTGATAGATGCAGACTGATGCAATTCAGCACGTACTGGCTGAGTTTCATATTTCTTTGGTCCAGCCAAAACTGCAATCCAGGATTTATTGACTACTCATATTCCCATCAGTCTAGTTTCATATAGTGAAGTTTAGCTTGGGTGAAGCAGGGCAAACACAACGTAAAATCATTTCTAATAACAGAACTGAGTCTCTTCGAGTGTGTGTGTGTGTGTGTGTGCGTGTGCGCCATTTGTTTGTGTGTGTGTGTGTGTGCGTGTGCGCCATTTGTTTGTGTGTGTGTGTGTGCGTGTGCGCCATTTGTTTGTGTGTGTGTGTGTGTGCGTGTGCGCCATTTGTTTGTGTGTGTGTGTGTGTGTGCGTGTGCGCCATTTGTTTGTGTGTGTGTGTGTGTGTGCCAGCTTTGCTTGTGTGTGTCTGTATATTTCTTACCCTCACCTGCCCAACAGTTCTGTTGTGGCATGAGTGGTTGAGTTACAGAGGCCCAAATTGAACCTGCATTTTTATTACAGCTTTTATTATTGTTTTTATTAAATCCAGAGTCTAGAAATCCATTTTATTGTCACCCAGAGGAAGCTGTTGTACTTCACTGTACGGGTCACCCCAATGACTATGTGGCGCTGTCATTTCCTGTGGCTTGGCAGATCCAGAGAGCGCCCTCGAGAGGGCGGCGGAGGATGGTGAGGCCGGGCATTTGAAGAAGAGGCTGCTTTCTCCAGAGGAAGGAGAGGAGGGAGAGGAGGAGGACGAGGAGCCTGCGCTGCACAGCTGCGACAGCTGCCGGCAGGTGTTCGAGTCGCTGAGCGATCTCACCGAACACAAGATTAATCAATGCCAGCTGACAGGTAAACAACGTTCAGCCCACCGAGCCTCCCCTACACTCTGCCACTCAGCTCTTCTCCCACTCCCACTCTCACTCTACGCCTTCACTCGAGAATATGCCACACTATGTGTGTTAGTACACTGCACCAAGGGGAGCGCTACACCAGACTACCAGTTGGCCTTGCAGCTTTCCAAGAACGTAGACATGCACAAAGCTCAAATTTAAACGTGTTCTAGATCCACGTCTGCACCAAAATAGACCTCCATCTGTCCCGATAATAAATCGCTGAAAGCTAACGTATGGTTAATTTGAATGTCTACATTTTGTCCTTCCCCCACTTTTAAACATAACATTTTATGTTGCACTGTACTAGTCCTCAGATTTCATTTGAGATTCACTCGCTGCTTCAGGGTCCCGCAGTGTCCAGACCACCAACAGGAAACTGATCCTTGCTGCAGGAAAGTCCCTTTGCTGGTCACGATGCTAGCTTGCTGCTGTAGTCAGACCTAGTGGGACTAAAAGAGAAGGATGCCATTGGCAGACTGTGTCATTGACCTGTTGATGGATGAATAGAGCTATAAATACCCTGACAAGGTGGCAGACAGAACTAATGATGTGAAGTGAAGGTTTTCATGTGCTTCTCCTCACTGCCCTCCTTTACACTTCACCACAGGCTTGCGTTGAGAAACATCATCTAACAAATATTTTTCAACATTCTGGTGCAGAGTCTTCTCTTGTTCTGCAACAGAGTTCGAACAGGATCTAATGTAATGGTCGTTTTTTTTTAGATTTTAGAAAGCAGAGTTGAAAAGCTTCTCCAGAGAAACAAAACTGTTGTTTCATTTCAGTTTTTGCAACCCACAGTCTGCAAACCACAAATTATAGGCCCTGTATCCCTCAGGGTTTTACCAAGATTTTCCTTTAACCATGGGGTATTCTCACAAACTTAAATTTCCCCATGTTTAACCACATATGTATACATGAGTATTCAGAAAAAAAACTTGCCAGCATATTTCTCTCTGGTGTCAATGTAGACAGAGAGTAGAAGGTGGAAATCAGTGCACACTCATGGATCGAAGTTGAATATATACAGTCAACTAAAGGCTTCAAAAACAGCCTATTGTTCAATGGCATGTCACTGTCTCACGGCAGATGTGGTCATGTGTGATTAGTGGGCAGTTTGTTTGGAGACCCTTGGAAACAACAACACAAAATGAGGTCAACTCAGTTTATTTGTATGGCACAGTATTTACAAAACACATTGAATGTCAGTTGACTAGACAGTTCACAAAAACAATCAAAATAAATTAATAAAAAAATATATATTTATCAATTAAATATAATAATGAAATACTATAAAAAAGAAATTGCAGAGACTGTTTTTATTATTTTATTCTTCATTTTAACAAGGTGAACCCCTGTGCCCTGCCCCCAACAGACTAGATTGTAGTTTAATCAATAGTATAGAGACAATAATGACAACAGTAACAGGCTGAGGTTAGGATTACTAGTTCTGGGTTAGGATTTACCCACAGACTAAAGACAGAGCCACAAGGGAGTCAGGAGAGGAGAGGAGAGTAGAGAGGAGATACGGGACAAGGTTATTGGCTTGAAATTTGAACACACAGGTAAAAATAGTTATCAGTGAACTGTGGGTATTCTCCCAGCAGTCAATGCCTACAGCAGCAAAACAAGCAGTAGCTAAGGTCCGTGAGCCAGCCCTTATTTCTATTACTATTTCAGGTATTGGTGCCATTGATTAACATGTTTTGAATTAAAATGTGTTTTTAGCACATAGTTCACGGTCAGAATAAATATAAAATAACACATTATTTTTCATCATTAGTCTTCAATTTGAAAAAAGTTTAAACTTAAAAAGGAATTTGTTGTGTCACATCTATGCTTTAGTGTAGAATTTGAACTTGTCTGACCAAACTTTTTAAATGTCTGAAAATACTGATGAACTAGTGAATGAATGTCTTTCTGCAAAACAAGTTGAGATTTTGATGTTAGAAACACATTTCTGAACTCTTTGTCCAGACCCCTTTCAAGTATTAAAAAAAAACAGTGTTTTCTTGGTCCTTGGTGTTTGATGAAAATGGAAGATCTCTTATGTTCTTTTGTAATATGATCATGGCTGACTGTGGTTTATTTTTTAAGTATAATTAAGGCTGGCTTTTATAAATGTCAATCATACGGACAAATAACTCTTAATTGCTCGATGATGAAAAAAATACGACTTGGATAACAGCCCCCTTGGAAACCAAACAAAAGAATCTAATTGCCATTAGGGCATTGTGATTGTGCAGAAACACTCTATTAGTATTCCAACACAGTGGGAGAAAAGAAACTTCTAGATGGCATACTAAATACTTTGTGGGTGTGTGTGTGTTGTTGTTGTTGTGTGTGTTCTGGAATATTGGAGGTGATTTCCTGTGTGGCATTATGTAGACATCCATGACCAATTTGTCTGCCTTACATCAGGTCTCCACTCACAGATGGATCTTTTATTAGAACCATTTTGTAATCAACCACTAGCACCTGCTAAACGCTACTATTTTACAGTCTTACATGTTTTATTTTCGGTAAATAAATTACATCGCTCGACTGGAACCGATCCACGTATGGATGTTTGGTTTTCCGACTCCCAAACAGAGCACAGCTCAGCTTTATCCCCGAGCTGTTGTCCTATAAGTGTATACGGAGAATTAGCAGAAGCAGAATTGCCTGTATACACCTTTCACCTTCAGCATTAATTTAAGCCTACTTACCATGTGTCCATGCTGTACAGTGAGACACAACAAAACCAAAATAAAGTCTTAGGAGAGACTAGCAGAATGTTGACCACACCCGACGGACAGAGAAAGAGAAAGATGTTACATGTCACTGCGATCAATGGCGACCATTGTCTCCCTCCCGTCTGGCAGAGGTATAACACCTTTCCTTGCACTTAAGCCGTGACCACTGCAGTGCGCTAAGGGAGCGCATGGGTATGGATTGCCTCGTGTCCCTGATGCGATCGGTGCTATTGATTGCACTAATGCTGGACTGCGGAGGAAGGCAGGAGCCTGAGAAAGGGAGCAAGGGAGAGCAAGGGAGATGGGGGAGAGAGAAAAAGAGAGTG